TATAGATATTGATCATTTCACATACCACTTGATAGATTCTTTTGTCGTTAGGTTGTTGAAAGTAGAATAAAAATGAATTGTTTGAATTAGATGAATACAAATAATTATTTATTAATTGAGAAATAGTTTCTTCAAAGGTTGTCTCTTCACAGATGATATGATATATATGATCATCATTGCAAGGCCTATAAAAGAATGAATGTCTAGCCATATTAACGTTCTCTTGAATATAATTGGTTGAATAACTAGATGCCTGAAATTTTGGAACAGTATGACTTGAAGACATCGGTTGCATATTACTATTTTGTTGATGCTCACTATTAATAACTACATGAGGTTCAGTTAGCACGTGCGAAACTATCTCATTATGAGTTGTATTTTGTATAGCATTAACACTTTGTGAGATAGGATCGTTATCGACATGAGGGTTGGGTGAATTACTCGTAAAGTTAGGTTCGCTATTACTTTGCATTACAATTGATTTAGATCCAACTTTTAAAATATTAATGCGTATGTAAAACGGAATGAATTTATTGTTAAAAGAACATTTATATATAAAGTTCTCGATAATTAATGTGTGAAAAATTTTCTATTACGACACGATGGTTTGAAATTAATTAATTAATTTGTATTGAAGAAATAATTAGGGCGATCGTGTTATTTGTTTTGCTTATAGGGAGAAATTTATAGGTTTTTTAAAAAATAGAGAATCTTTTTTCAAAGTTTCAGGTATGAGAATATTTTTTTAAAATAAAAAAACCGGAAGTTATATATGTGAGGGAAAAAAAAAAATACTACTTTATTTATCAAATAATAAAAAACGAAGAGCATGAAAAAGAATTTTCATTTCTAAAATTTTGTATGCAAAAAATTTACAAAAAAAGCTTAGCTGCTCGTCAGTGCAGATTTATCTCTCAAATTTAGAAACTTAATGTGACGCAAAAGTAATTTCATTACCTGGGTGAAAAATTTTTTTAATGCGTTCCTTAACAAGCATTGTCCAACCGTAACAATCACATGTTCCCTTTTATTAGAATTCATTTTAATATAAATTATTGCGCTAAAACCAGTATCATTACAGAAGAATAAATAAACTTTAAAATTATCTTAATATAATTAGTAAAATTTTTGTAATTCTGTTGCGAACTTTGTAATAATATTTTAAGCTAAATACACAGTGAAATTCGATAAACCGGATCTTCGATAAACCGGATATTTTTAGTGGAACCGATAGATCCCGGTTTATCGAATTTCACTGTGTATATGTCAAAAAAGTATTTAACATATTTAATTACTACTTTACTACTACTATATTTGTGAATCTTAGTTTACCCTAACTCGTGCGCGGCTATGGGATTTCAATATTAAGATAATTATTTTCTATGATCACGTGAAGGTGAAAGTTTCCGCCGAGAAATCGAATTGAAATCAATAATGTGTATAAAAAGGTCGTATTCAGATTTATACTTTTTATCTGATTGCTTCTCAGGATTCAGATTTCACATGATTTCACAGTAAGATTTTATTACAAAAGTCAGTTTTAAATTTTTTTGAGATATAGGAGTAATTTTTATATATTATATGAAATTGTTTAATTTCTAGCGAATAAGCATTTATGTCTTTATTACGAGTATAAAATTAGAAATATTTTTTTTTTAATTTTAAATTATTATGAGGTTATTTTTTCATCTTTAATTAATTGATAATTCGAAAACTTTGTTCGAAATATTTTATATCATTTATTTATTAGTAATTTATTATTTTAACGAAAGCATATCGTAATATTATTTTATACTCATTGATATATCTACCACTAAAAATAATACTAGTAAGGAAAATTGTTTGATCATAAGTTACGTTTAATTTTATGTTTTTAAGTTCTCTTTTATCACTTAATTTTAGGTTTCTAATGAAATCAATGGCTTTATTTCTTCCGAAGGTTATAAATAATTTTTAATTTTACTTTAATAGAGAGAGCTTAATAACTTTATTTGTGAGATATTATTACATTTTTAATTAAATAAATACATTACTAAATTGTGAGACATCGAATCTTCTGATCGTGCAGAAATTTTGTGATAGGAAAAATTCTACATACAGCATTATTTTCCAAAGTTATTTATTTCACTTTATATTATAATTGCGAAACCATATGTTTCGAATTTGAGGATTTTAAATAATACAATAGTTTTGAAATTTCAAAGATTTCGTCCATTATATTTCTCAAAATCTAATTGCTCTCAACATAAAAAGAGAATAGATTCAGAAATAAATTTTCTCACATTATCTCTAAAAGAGCACCAATATTGATATAATGTTCACAATTGAATGTTTACATAAACAAAAATTGAATTTTGATTAATTACTTTGTTAGAAAAAAAAAAAATAAATAAAATTGATTTTCGTGAAATCAATATATCTAACAGTGCATAAAATTCTTAACCATACCATGAAAATATTTTAAAAAGCAAAATATACAAATAATACTTAATCTACCATTCTACCATTCAACAAATATGTTTTATTATGACCTTGATAATCAATGTGGTTAGGTATTTATGATAATCAATCTTTGAATATTACCTATTTGAATCGGAGTATTATTTCCGTTACCCCGATCATAGCAATTGTTGTTGATCAACATTTATGAAACACCCCTCCGTACACAAATATGTGTAAGTTGGCGAAAAAAAAAAAAAAACATAAATGTGTAACTAACAAATGAAAGAAAATAGGAAATGCCTTAGAAAAGCCGACCTTCCTTTTATCTATCTAGTTCAGGTTACACGCTAACATTTCATTTACAGTGAAAGAATGGCGTTTTTTTGATGGTACTGTATAAATTCTATTAATCATATCAGATATGCTTCTTATTAAAAAGATTACAAACGCAACGATTGATGAAGTTTCGTGTGACCACCTTCATTTATTTAAGTTGGTGTCTTTTTGTACTACGCAAGGCTGGTTTCAACGGAGGTTTGATTATTTATTTTTACTGCCAGTCTTACTGTTGAAATCATTTGTTTATGCAACCATAAACTCTATGAGATCATTGTTTGCACGATCCTTTTTAAAAACAAATATAATGACCTTTTCTTAATTTATTAAATGAATAACAATAAAAAAAATTATTATTATCATTTAAAATAATTTCTTCAATATTCGTGACTCAAGATTTTATAATAACTTTTGTTCATCGAATTAAAGGTTTAAAATCGATATATTAATCACCACAGAATGGCGAAACATGAGATTTCCACAAGTTATGACATTTGTGGCGCAGTAATATAATCTCGAGTATTTACCAGGGTATGAAAAATTAAAGATTTTTTAGTATTAAAAAAATTTCTCTGTTCCCAGAATAATTTAGTAAAACCGAAACAGCAGGAGTGTGTTGCCGCGTGATAAATGGAAAATATCACGCCTACATAATACATGACCCGTGTTTACACCCCGTGTTAACTAAAAAATGTCTAAAAGAAAATATAATTACGTTTTATGAATCTATAAAAATAAAAAGTAATTTAATTCCCACGATCAAAGAAATTGCATTCAATTTTTTAATTGTATAATATTGCAAACGAGAATTTTACAATTAACACGATGTAAATTAATAAGTCAAGTATTTTTTTGAGGTAGTCGGTAATTTGTGCAATTTATAATTATTATTCTATGACAGAGATGTCCCGTTTTTGCTTGAAGTTTCTGATTTATTAGAGCGAGATTACGCATAATAATTAGAGACCACCGAGTTAGAAGCTTAGTGAACAATTATAAATTAAGCGTATAAGTGAATTTAATGAAAATTATAAAGGTTTGTTTGTAAAGATTGAGATATTTGATCTTCTATAAGATTCCAATCGAACTTTATTTCTTACACGGAAAATTTTTAAGAATTTAAATTTTTTTAAAAAAAACCTTTAATGGGCATTTACAGGTTAAAAGCCAATACCCAGAATAAGATTTATCACTTTTATTTATATACAGTATGTCGCATCTCTATGCGAACGAAAATATATCATTTGGGTAATTGCTGTTTCAAACTTTCAAATCAAGATTTCAACGAGAAATAAATCTGACACTTCCTTTATTACATAAATACTAAAGATATAATCCTCAGGATGATATGCTCAATATAGAGGACGAATCACGTCATTTACGCTCTTTACATAGAGGGTATTTAAGAATTGTTCAAGAAAAATATCTGGTTCATTACCACATAATGTTGGATGTGCTGTCGACCGATTAACAAAACTATATCTAGCCCTATAGTAAAATTTACTATAAAAGATTTTATTTGTAATTCCGACATCATTGCTAAAGTTTAAATTTGCCTTATAATAAGCTTCTTACTAAATCGATACATTTTTATACTTTAATAACTTTAGACCTTCCTAATATCATCGTCTCTTTCATGTAACAGCTCGTTTTTTTTTTCAACATATATCATTTGCGCTTCAAGAAATAATAAATAAATCTTTTTGGGCACAGCTCTCTAAATAAAAAGTTTTTCTTCAAGAAAACGAGGTGTCACATAGTTTTTAGGTTATTATGTACATTTTTAATTTAACTGAACGATCTTAACTAAAAAAAAAATTCCGATTATCTAGACGTAATTTGGACATGTTAAACTTATTAGCAATCATCAAATCACTTATCCAATTTTAGAACTTTGTTAAAATTAGATCGTTATAAACGTCTTTTCATCACTTATAAATAATGGAAAAAAAAAAAAAAATAAATCAAAAAAGTTTTTTTTTTTTAACAAATTAGATATTCTTTTTTTCTTATTTTTACAATTTAAAAACTTTTCTCAAATCTCCTTTATCGAATCAAAAAAGTCTCACTTTTAAGCAACGATTACAATTTGATTGTCGTGTCGTAATAGAAATTTTCACACGAGAACTTTAGATATATTATATAAATTTTTTTTGAGCAATAAATTCATTTAGTTTTACAAACGCATTAATATTTTAAAATTTGGATCTAAATCTACTGAAATGCAAAGTAATATCGAACCTAACTTTTCGATTACTTCACGCAGCCCTCATGTCGATAACGATCTTATCGCTCCAAGTGTCAATGCTACACAAAATACAACTAATAATGAGAATTTTTCTCTCGAGTATCAACAAAATAGTAATACACAACCGATGACTTCAGTTCAAAATTTTCAGGAATCTCCTAGTAATGCAACTCAAGGGTGCGTTAATATGGCTAGATATTCATTTTTTTATAGGCCTTGCAATGATGATCATATTTATCATATCATCTGTGAAGAGACAACCTTTGAAGAAACTATTTCTCAATTAATAAATAATTATTTGTATTCATCTAATTCAAACAATTCATTTTTATTCTACTTTCAACAACCTAACGACAAAAGAATCTATCAAGTGGTATGTGAAATGATTTATATTTATAGCAATGAAATTAAACCAAACGAACAGCAAAATGTGGAATTTTCTAATAGACATAAAGAAAATCTTGAAATTTATTTGAGAAAATTTCTGGTTACTTATTTGGCACCAATGGATATTTACGGGCAATTAAACATGAATATTGAACAAGATAGAGATGTTGATAATGGTACGGGTGGTAATTCTAATATAAGTTTAGTTGATATTTCGCAGTTTTCTATTTCTCAACAGAATAATGATAATCAGATAGTTTCATCAAAATGTTAGTGGAAATTATTGGCGATATAATAACTCGGAATAAAATTTGAGTTATTAAGATATTTCCTTATTATATATTTATTTGGTATAGTGTTAAAGTGATTTGTAATTTTTTTTTTATTTCTGATTTATATTTTTATTTACTATTTATTAAATAAATTCGAATATTGTTATTGCGATTTATTTTACCATGTTTTTTTATGATTATTTTTCTTTAACGTTAACTTCTCATTTTTAATTATTAAAGCTAACAAAACATTATTAATGTAATATAGAAAAGATTTATTCTGAATCTTAGAAAATATATCATTTTTTAGAATGAAAATTCTAGAGTTATTTTTTTGTTTTTTTTTTTTGAAAAATTTGACTATATCCAATCCCATTGGGTATCTACCCAACGCCACCGTCATGAAACCTCTAATTTACCCCACGCTATGATAGGTTCGTATGATTACGAATAGACCTTACCAACCGAAAAAATTCCAAGTCCCTCAAATATTTGAAACATAACCAGTGTCACACCGGTGACAAACCCTAATCTCAATTATACCATATCGTAGGTAAATTTGTGGATCCCATGGCTTTGTTGGAAATCGATGTTCATTTAAACTTTTTATTTTGCCAAATTTGGTAAGCTAATTAAAACAGGGATATAAAAATTTACGTTTACAAATTATTGTTTCTTTCACGTGATTTATATTACACGTACTTGCATCATGCATTTTCACACACAGATTTGGTCATTATTTGGTGCTGGATCGTTATTCATCAGATGGTCTTACGTTTTAAATATTTTATATAATCTTACCGAAAAATGTATACCAGATGACAATATTCTTTAATCGAAAACTTAGATATGGTATATACAATATAAAAACGTAAAAGTGTTGATAAAGCCTCAAATTAAATATAAAATTTTGATTATACATAACATCCACGTATATTATTATGACAAAAAACTTTTCCAGAAAATAAAGATTTTTACGTCATTATAACCTGATAAATACAATAATAGCGGTCTAATAAGTTGTTTTTTGGTGAAATATATATTGTAAAAGTTTATTTATGTGAAATTTTAAAAATAAAACGAAGTAATTTAACAATTATATAATTAGTAAGAGCTTAGAGAATACTTTAATTACCATAAATACAATACATTAATTAGATCTAGATTATATTTTAAGTAACTTATCGTTATGTTAACTCTACGAAAATAATTGCTGCACAATCCTGTGTTCGAAGTTTTATATCATTGATATAATATGGGCCGGTTGCTATTAACAGTTAATAACAATGTAAATCATTTTATTTTTAATAGTAAGCCTCCCATATACTGTATAATAAAGCAAGTCCAAAACAGAAATATGTATATTTTATAAATTAAATGACTTAGTTTATAGAAGATATTCAAAGTATTGTAATAGTTTTTTTCTTGAAAGCCAACTATTCTTGTTCCATATTCTGTTCATTATAAATATTTTAATACAATAAATTATTAATAAAATGAGGAGAAGCAATTTCACAAGATACCTGATAGGTATATCATTAAATTGCTGTTTGACAAAAGAAAACTTATTCATTTTATTTTAACTTGATGCAGAATGCATTGAAGTTGCAGTGCGAGGAGAAGTCACATGACACAAGCACTCAGTTGAACTTTCGGTTAGTTGTTCAATATTCGATTGAGATGGATGGTAAAGTTGTTGTTATCTTAAGAAACTATGTAATATGAGATATAATTGAAGAAATTTGAATTTGATAATTTGTTAGATTTATTAGACCTAGTTAAAATTATGGTATTTGGGTGTATAGAAGAAATAATTAATTTTGATCAAGTTGTTTGATATTTAATTATAACTTTTTGTTGAACTTTTTATTTTATTTTTAATAAAAAAAAAAATTCCCCTTTTAAAGATCAAAATTTTCCGACAATCCATTTTTCGTTGACGATAATAAAAATGTTGGCGATGTTCTTTTTTACGTTTTATTTAATTACTTGTCATAGGAAGACTTCTAAGTTTTAAAATATTGATCAGCATTCTATGAATAATAAAATAATAAATATAATATTTTATATCTTTCATGAAAGCAATGAAAGCAATTTAAAATGTAATAAATCATTAGTTATTTAATGGTTTTATCTTTTCATAGTATTTCAAATTTTTTTACTTTTTTAAATACAAGTTTTAAAACTTTTTTTGGACTATTAGAAGTTTAAAAACAAGTTTTATCATAATATAAAGACCTTTAAGCTTCGTTATTATAGTCACCTCTAGCAAGCTTTATTAAAACTAGGACTTTTTTGGATTATTTTGCAAGCACGTTCCAAAGTAAGCAAAAAAATTTTTTACTAAATGTAAAACACCATTTTCTGAAAAAGTACTTTAAAATTGTATATATAAATAATACCTAATTTAAATTCGTTGAATTGTCAAACCTTGTTAAAAAAAATTGAAGATCGACCATTTCCTTGTAAAAAAATAAAAGATCTACCATTTCCAAAAAAAACTTGAAAGATCGTGTGACAAAAAAAAAAACTTGAAAAAAAACTACTTCCTTGTAAAAAAATAGATCTACCATTTCCTGATAATAATTGGTTAGTTTGATTGAGTGTGCTTAAATCTCCCTTAACAGCATTTAAAGCACTACCATCAGTGTAACAAAAAAAAAATTGAAAGATCGACCATTTCCGTGTAAAAAAAAAAAAAAAAATTATTTTTATAAATATAAGCTACCGCACGTTAAAATAAAAAAAGAAAAAATTATTTATTATAAATATAACATTCTTCATATATTAATCTTTGTAAGAAAGTTGTCTATTTTTAAAAATCTAAACAGAAACAATAACTCGATCGAATTATTGTTTCTTAAAAACACAAAATTAAACTTATATTTATTATCCTGCAATGCAAAGTCCTGGCGAATCTAACTTTACGAGTAATTCACGCTACCCTCATGTCGATAACGATTCTATCGCTCCAAGTGTCAATGCTATACATAAAACTCATAATGAGGTTTTTTCTCTCGTAACATCTGAACCCCAGATTGTTGAGTATCAACAAAATGGTAATATGCAACCGATGTCTTCAAGTCATACTGTTCAAAATTTTCAGGTATCTCGTTATTCAACCAATTATATTCAAGAGAACGTTAATATGGTTAGACATTCATTCTTTTATAGACCTTGCAATGATGATCATATTTATCGTATCATCTGTGAAGAGACAACCTTTGAAGAAACTATTTCTCAATTAAGAAATAATTATTTGTATTCATCTAATTCAAACAATTCATATCTATTCTACTTTCAACAACCTAATGACAAAAGAATCTATCAAGTGGTATGTGAAATGATCTATATTTATAGCAATGAAATAAAACCAAACGAACAGCAAACTGTGGAATTTTCTAATAGACATAAAGAAAACCTTGAATTTTACTTGAAACAATTTCTGGTTACTTATTTGGCACCAATGGATATTTACGGGCAAATAAACATGAATACTGGACAAGAAAGGGATGTTAATAATGATGTTAGTAATTCTAATACAAATTTAGTTGATATTTCGCAGATAGTTTCATCTCAAAATGTTAGTGGAAATTATATACGATATAATAACTCGGAATAAATTTGAGTCGTTAAGATATTTCCTTATTATACATTTATTTGGTATAGTGTTAAAGAGATTTGTAATTTTTTTTATTTCTGAAATATATTTTTATCTACTATTTATTAAATAAATTCAAATATTGTTATTGCGATTGTATCTTACCGAGTTTTTTTTTATGATTATCTTATTCTTTAACGTTAATGCGATTTTAGTTTGATAACAGCTAACAAAACATTATTAATACAATATGTGAAAAGATTTATTCTGCATCTCTGTAATAATATATCAATCGGGTTGAGATGTTTTTTTTATTTTTTATAATGAAAAATTCTAGAGGTTTTTTTTTTTTAGAAAAATTATTTCTAATCATGAATAACCTACAGTATATTGTTCGACAAATGAGTATCTACCCAACGCCATTGTCATGAATCAACTAATTTACCCACCAGTTCATAATATGTATCGATTATTAACTTCATCTTTCTTAAGAATAGATAGAAACTGTTGAGAAAGAAATAAGTATAGGAATTAGAGAAAAGAGCAGGACACAAGGCAGATTTTTTTCCAATCATTGGACTCAAATTTACTTACAGAAGCAATCCTCAAATTGATATATGCACGACGGAGCCACATTTATGACAGCATTTAGATTCGACGGAACACCATTGAGGGTTCTTAATAGCGTCATTCATATCC